ATACTAATAGCTAATGCGTTCATAACACGTAAGTGGGTAGTCATAATTTTGTTGAAGTAAATAAACATGTGTTCATACACCCAATTAGTTAAATTAAATGTTTTGAGTCATAACAATATAAAAATTGAAATTATAATATTATTTATGTTGTTAATTGTTTAAAAAAAATTGTTTCTCAATATTTTATCGATGGTTTAAGATGACCTATTTATAGAGCGTTGTTTAATATTCTCAATTGCTTGTGGTCAAATCATTTTTTATAATTGTCACCCAAATCGGGTCATCACATATTATGTTAAATAAAGTTTTCAAATTATTATGATGTATTCAACCTACAAAAATGTCCTTCTCATTTTACTCAGACTCTTCACTGTCTATATAATACATATATAGTTATGATTAAAAGTGTCTCTAGTCAGTATTTTCATTATAATATACACTATACAGTGGCAAATCCAGGGGGAGGCAAAGGAGGCATTTCCCCCCCCCCAATCACCGTAGTTTTCCTTTGTTTTACATTGTGTTTAGCCAATTTTGTAGCCAATTTCGGAACTTTTTGTACTTTTGCCCCCCCATGCCCCTCCCAAAATTAAACCCTGGATCCACCACTGACACTATATACGTGTTCTCCAATACTTATAATAATGTAATTTATAATATTTTATGGTAGGTATCAATGTATCATAATAAGTCGGTACTAATTACAATAAATTATAATATTAAAAAAAAAAGATTTTGTACGAATATACCACATACATTGTTAACAAATTTCGTAGGTTTGAAATTCGGCAGTTCATTCAAATAAGTATTCAGTTTTTAATATTTTCACCAATAAACTTTTCTTTTTCAGCCATGTATTAGATAATATTAGATTCTATTTATAAACTTTCCCAGACATTGTAAAACGTAATTAAATACCATAAAGATTATCAGATTACCAAGTTGTACTTTATAGGAACCAATTCGTACAGTCGTAGTACGCCACTAGTACCTATTATATTATGGTAAGCAATTTTTATGGGGAACCAATTCCGTGTTAGCCGTACAAATAACATAAATACGCTTGATCTTGGTAAATAACAATATAATATATTCACTCTTTTAGAACTATTTTCTTTATTTTTATGCCTTTACCTACGCTTATTCAACGCTGATTTCGCCAAACATTTTACCTAAATAGATTAGTTTAAACTTAATGCACCAGAGCACGCGTAAATAATCTATGATCCTAATAGGTTAATATTCTAATTAATAATATTATACAAACAAAAATGCCATGGTACAAACGGATACATGACATATGCTCCAAAAGTGTAAAAATTACATAATATAATAAAATTTGCACCAAAAATCAAAATCAGTAGGTCATACTTAGGCACCAATATAAAACTATATGCAATAAATGTCAAAAGAGCCAAATAAATATAATTTGTATCAATATTAATCTATAGTTGATTTTTTAATTATAATTTATGTATTTAAAAACCTTGGTAATCAATATTAAGTAAAATTATAACGGTGGCGATAAAATAGTAGGTAGATACCTACCTAATATAAATAAATATAATTTAATATAATAATATTTTTTTATACCAAACACAAATTATCTATTTAAACGGATCGGATCAGATATTCTATTCTACTTGTCTTCCATTATAATTGTACATAGGTTCTCACTAGGTGCCCTTTTAATTTCGAGTTTGAAGGAAAAGAATTCATAAATAGGTACATATGTTTTCACTTCACAATTTTAGTTATAACTTATAAGACATCAATTAATCTATAATATTATAAATTGAGCAACGAGCAATATAAAATTTGGTTATTAAATAGCTACATATTTTGTTGTTCATATAATATCCTTATCCGGAATCCCATCGACAATAAATGTATATCTCTAAATTGTAACCACTGGCCATTTCTCTTAAATATGAATATCTATATTTTTATTCATTAAATAAAATGCATAAAACGCCTTTATTTGCAATAGTTTGTGTAAAATTAATTTTCGTTATATCTTATGCAAATTGTACTAAATAGTACGTACATACAAACAATGTTATGTTATAAGTTATAAGTTAAAACAAAAAAAACTCTAACGTTCTATCATAATCATGAAATTAATTGACAATTTGTTAGGTAGGTACCTATATGGTTATCTGGGCGAGTATGGCGTTCTTTGTACTATACTTCGAATTTATTTTTTGTTCATGTCGTATTTGCGCTGATGTCATCAATTGGTACAAGGTTCAAGGTACAACATAGGTACATGTACAAGGTACAAGATATTATACCTACTACAGTACTACCAACAAAATAATTTTAACAATAATAATTTTACAATCTGTAAGAGTAGTGTGTTATTTTTTTTTTAAAGACAGTTTACTAACCCTAACCATTTTCTTTTTAATTTAGATTGTTATAACTAATAATATTAATAAAAACGAAAATAAATATAGCCTAAATCGTAAATTTACTATAAAGATTATAGTATAGGTAGGCAAAAAAGTGTATAAAGGTACCTAATTACAACCTATGTGCCTAATATAAAACAGATGTCATACATAGCAGTGAAAAAGGCCAATATTATGTTAAGATTTCACTTCCAGGCACGATGACATGTCTCTAGCCCCCCCCCCCACTCACGGAAAAAATTTACGATATAATAAAGTCACAAAACATTATTTTAAAAAGAGCTACATCAAAGAATGTATAAATAAATTTCGATTTTTGTATATCGTTATTCATTATGAATATAGTTGTTGAAGGTCTGTTAAACATTTTCTTACATAAGGCACATAAATAATATTTGATATTATTCTTAAAATATTTTTAATTATTCAACAGTTTGTACATATTATCTGTTTAGACTTTTACAGTATACAATATAAAATCTTGTGTACTATATAGGTAGTTAATAGCTATATTATGTTATATGATACGAAAATATTTATATTTTATTTAAATAACCTCAGTATTTGATGAAAAAAGCCCATGTAAAAAAAATATTTGTCCCACTCTCCCCCCCCCCCCTGGAAACAAATTCTAGTGCCGTGCCTGTTCACTTTAGGGTCACTAATTATTATGACTTATTTTAGGGGACGGAGTGGCCGAGCGGACTAAGGCATCGGTTGCGACGCTCACCACTTCTGGTTCGAATCTCGGTCACGGGCAGACATCTGTCTGGATAGACAGGCTGCCATCCCCCGACCGGGCATGGCAGAAACCTACCGGTGTCCAATTGAAATTCTGCCAAACCCAAAAAACACAATATGTGCTTACAAAAAAAATCTACAGTACCCTTCCCTATAGTTTAAAACAACAAGTCTATGTTGTCGTGGGTTAATTAATAAAATTAAAAATTAGAAAATGACTCATGCCATGTGACTGATAGGTTCCTAAATTTTGCCTGAACGTTTTTACCGAATACCGATGTGATATAATATATTAGGTATTATTATTTAACAGGTATATAATAATTGTATGTTATAATAACTTGTAGAATAGTTTTTAATATTGTATTATCCAACAATGTGATTGGTGGCAGTGGCCAACCCTAGTACTAGGTGTCGCGGTCCCTACACCTTGAAAATAAGGGGTGGGTATAATAACATAAAATAATCAACTGGAAATATGTTCATATTAATCACAGATTATACTGGTTAATACCTTAATATTTACTAATATTATCAATTAAAATATGCTAAAATGTATAAAATAATATAATTAAGAGTTTGTGGGGGGAGGGTGGGTGGATAAAATCTTTTTTGCTACACCTGATAAATATATCTTGCAGGTCGCCACTGATTGGTGGTTTTGATACTGTTATGATTCATAATTTATGAATATGACTTGTAGTTAGTGTTTCACGAAATATTTCATTTTTTTAAATTTCATGAAATTTTCAAACACTACTTGTAGTTGTCACTTGTTTCTTGTTAAGAGGATGTCACACTCGCATGTGCTGTCTCCGTCTTTCAAATGTATAACATAACAAAACTGTTTTGCGAGGGACAACTTTTTTCGCACTATATTTGTTGTAGAACCACCAAATTTTCACAACACGTAAAGAAGAACTTTATCTGTGAAACAGCGTGCTTTTTTTTAATAGCACTCTCCAATCATTTTCTATAAGCAAATGAAAAAAACCAAAAAACCAAATGTTTAGAAGCAAATAACTCTTATTTTATTTATATTATCTAAAATAAGGGCACACTATTGCATAGATAATTTTTCGCCCTATATGTCAGAAATTTTGGAGCCACTACTACAAACACAGAAAGATAAAAGTTGTCCCGCAAAAAACAGTTTTTGCTGTGTTGTACATTTGTAAGACGGAGACAACACTTGCGGGTGGGACATCCTCTTAATGTTTTATGTAAAGTTTTAACATGTCAAAAGTATTTTACTTGTAATATTTGTTTTAAAAACTTGAAATACTTGTCGAATATAGTAAGTACCTACCTACCTCAAAAACGATACATTAATAAAATATCTGTCTTCTGTACTTTATACGATGATAATATTTCCTGTATTTCACTAAATCATGACTATTGACCATGTACGATGTACCTTGTACCTGTATTATATCAAACTATGTGTAGGTATGTATAAACATTAAATATATATTATTTTCCCATTAGTAGGTAAACAATGCACTATTGATATGATTATTTTTTAAATGTTCAGATGTCTGCTGTATTTTAATGCTTATAGGTACATTTTAAGATAATTATGTCGCCTGTCAATATACAATATATATATAATATCCTAATTGCCTTTCTATCACCACCGATCACATTCTAGTTTCATTTTATATGAGTATGTGTAGACGATAGTACCAAATTAGTTCGTCTGACCCTAGCGCTACAGCATAGCGCCCATACCTGCATTCATACCATTGCTGGTCCAACAGTCGATGTGAACTGATGTTATTCTGTGTTTCACGATTTTGTTTGAAGAATTAAATATAATTTTAATAACTTTTCCTGACATCAACCATGAACAAACACACCAAGAATCTTTTGGTTTTTCTTTTAATTACAGGTTAGTAATAAAATTGAGTAAATGCTTAAGTATAAAAATATCGTGTACGTGTAATTGTTTACTTATTGTACATGTTATTTCAAAAATTATTTTTAATTTATTATACAATAATTGTACTGCTATTATTAAATTCAAATTATTTTACTTCCATCAACTCAAATGGATTTTACGGTAAAACAGATTATATCCTATATATAGATGTATACCTATTTACAATTTTTGAATTATTTGACTTCCATTTGTTAATTGATTCTATTCATTATTCCACCATCAGGATACAAAATAATCATTTATTACATTTTTAAAAGCGATATTTGTCTAAATATTAGAATAATAAATGGTTGAGTCAAATATTTCTATATACAAACTGCATTTTTTTTTTTACTATTTATTAGGGAGGTATATAAATTTTGATTTATCTATAGTGCAAAATATTTGACAGCTTTGATGTTTTGTAAAAATGTTTTTATTACTAGTTTTGTTAAGTTTTTAATAATTTATATTTTTAATATTTCTGTTAAATAACAATAATATTATAAATAAGCGCTAGAACGTCTAGAACAGTTAAACGTAATCTTCTTAATAATGCAGATAATTTGTTCTGATTTATTAAGAAGTGTTGAATACCAAGAATTGTATTCATTTTTACCTTGTTATATTTAAATATTAGGACGACTGATATTTAACTACTGAGGCTACCTGAATAGCTGTATTGTATGCTTGTATTACACCTACCTATAATTAAGCATGTTACCTACCTAAATAATAATAATAAATAGAGGTTTAACTCTACTTTTTAGTGTATAATGTATACTGTTGGTACCTATATAATTCACTAATGGTCACTTTGCTATTATATTTTAATATAGGACCTGGATTGATTTTGTCCGTGCATGCGGCTTTATGCGATCCGTCAATCGCCCCCTGTCGTGAAGGCAGTTGTATGCCGTGCAATTTGGGAAAAAAGCAACCTGTGGAACAAGACGATTGCACGGAACCGAATGGATGCCCTGAAGTCACCATGGTAAAAATGGAACCACCTGCCTCGGTGTTTGAATTTAGGCCCCAATCACGGTTCACTAAGCCACCCACTACCTGTTTATTTTGTCTCTTTAACTGGAATGGATTTTTTTGGTATTATAATGATTAAGCCACTTATATTTATTGTACTTTAACCTTATATTTATATCTACAAATTATATATTTTTATCGTATTAAATATATTCTTATTTAACACTAGAATAAAGTTATTCTATTATGCGACCCTGTATTATATTTTTTAAGACTAGTATACGTAGGTATAAATAGACAGTGTATAAAAATTGTATTTTGTTATCTTTGATAACAGTGCCGTAAATAATTATTAGACCTCAGCTGGTCATAAACATTAAACTTTGGTTCTCGTAATACATATTTGGCCACCCTTCCTCTCTCTCACTCGAGTTAGCCAGATTAAATGTAAATTAGTTAGGTACCTAAATGTATTCAATTTTTAATATTAATTATTATACAAATTATTTTAAATACGTACCTAAAAAAAAATTCATAAACCAAAATATAATTACCATAAAGATTTCTTAGTAGTCGCTTATTATTGCGTAATTATCTTCATAATTATCTAAGGCTTGAACTATTTTTTTCAAGACTTACAAATTTATTTATTATACCACAAACATAAAAAAAATGTCTCTGCCCATGTCAATTCTACTAATGTCCTGTGAACCTTCAACCTTGATCTAATGATCCAGGGCCGGACTGGAAGAGTTTCGGCCCCCTAATATCTGTAAGCAACCAGCCCATTTCACTACATTTAACGGCCCAACTTAAACTAAATATTATATTTTTCTCAATAGTATTTCCACTACAGTTGTAGGTACTACACACACATTTTATAAGAATTAGGATTTAGAAACTTTTTCTATGTTGATTACAAAGAAAATGTAAAATACATCAATACATAGGTATAAATCAGTAACACTAAGTAGCAGTATGACAAATTAAATCTTATAACTATATATTTATGTAATTATGTGTAAATATATAATTTAGATAAAGCATAAGATGAGTTTTTAATAATGTCCAAAATATCTTCAAACTTCAAATCATTCAATGTATCTTTTTCAACAGACATTAATAAAAAGGCATCTAAGCGGTCATTAAATTATGAAGAGTATAGTCGATTTTTGATCATTTTTAATTTGCTAAATACTCGTTCACAATTAACTTGAGTCATTGATAAGGGTAGAACATGGCTGAATATAAATTAGAATATGTACGCATATGTAAATTAAGTGAATGAAGTAAATTAAGAACACAAATCAAACAATTCTCTAGGGGATGTATAGATTTTTCATCATGGATAGAAACAATAGTGATCACATTCAGATTATAAAAAAAAATTATTTCATATACATTTTCTTAACGCCAATATTTTAATACAATAGCTAATAGAGTAAACTTGAATAAAAAGTATTACAGTATCAATAGAAAATACTTCAAAAATATCTATAATTATAATAGGGTAATATTTGGTGAATAATATTTTTATACATTGAAAACGCAAGTGACCGAAAACAATGTTTATATTTTTTGATGCTTGAGAACTTCCTTTGCAATATTTTTGTACGTCGGATGACATCAAAGCATTATTTGTACCACAAGATATTCTGACAGTAGTGATAAAGACAACAAATATGTAAGTAATTCTTTCAGATATTAATATTTAACGGTAGGTATTGTAATTATTTAAAATAGGTACACAAAATGTAGTACCTACTGATTATATATTTAAAATTTAATATATTTTTCGAAAAAATTATTATGAAAATTGAATGTATATAATATAGAGTATTATGATTCATACTAGTTAATATAAAATAATTATATATTTTTACCTAGTTTATTGAAATCTGAAATTTAGTATAATTTAGTTCTACGGCCAAATTCCAACTAATAATCCTAACATTATTTTTATAGGTACACTGAAAACGTAAGTGACCTCAATGTTTATATTTGTTGGTAAATATGTAAGAACTTCCTTTACAATATTTTTGTATTGGGAATAGTGTAATGTTGAGTAATTTTTATTCACAGTATTTTAAATGAAAATCATATAGCAAATTATATTAAATCTTCAATTATTTGATCTTTAAAAAAAAAAATTTTCATAACTATACCCTGTGGCTCACTGTGGTGTAAAATAGTAGCATGTAATGATCAATACCATTGTGTAGATATCACAAATTATCTTAAATCATGCACTAAAGTTGCTATTTTTATATCAAACCAAAAATGATTTACCTATTTTATTATTATGTCAGATTATAAATTAATATTAATATTAATTATAAATTATATTAACACATTATTATTATTTACTCAGTGTATAGTCAACTGCTGTGTTAGGATCTAAAATCGTACTGTTGATTTCTACACTAAATTTCTACAACATTTAATGACTATTTCATTATACCAATATTAAAATAATTATTTGGGGTCATCACCAATTCTAAGCAGGACAGCCACCCAAATAATTTTATTTTTGTGAATAATGTGCTTCAAATAAGTTGATATACCTTCCAGCCATCATAATTAAGTCTATAAAATATTTAAATCACAGGGTCATTAATTTTTAATGCTTAAATCTCTGATAGGACTGACATTTTCAATATATTTTTGGTTCATTGGGCACAGGCACAAGTATTGGCAAAAGTGGGTATTAACTAGTTAGTTAATTTTCTAATCAATCTATTGAACTTAACAAGTTTAATAATTTATTGACCTTTTAAATAACTTAACTTTCCTCAGTTTATTTAAAAATAATCTATCAATTTAATCATTTTGAAATTTTTCGTTTTTATGGTTTTTATACATAAGTATTAATAATAGAATTAAAATAAACAAAATCCGATAGAATATAATATAATAATACAAACATTTCTGGTATATTTTTTGATAAAATAATTTTGTAAATATACACATTATACATATATATATAATATATTAGATAGGCATAATATTATATGACCTTAAAATATTGCTATTTGATATGAAAAAATAAATATTTATTAAACTATTAATTTTTATGTGTTGGTATAGCTTAAATATTTAATAATCATGCAAAGTAAAATAGGTATATATACACTGTATACACACAGTGAAAATTCAATAAAATTGTTAATATGATAATTTAGGAAATCAGAAGGAATGCAGTTACTCTTTATGTGATCCACATACTAATTAAAAAAATTAGATTAACTTTTTAAACTGGTTTAAGTTATAATTTAATTCCATAAGTATTAACTTTTGACTTATTGAGTCAAATTTATTATTTATTATCAACTGTTAACTTTTAACTTATGGATCTTATATTTAATTATTTGCATCAACATATGCCCACCTTTGAGCATTGGCCCTTGTAGGGCCTCCTGTAGTGGACTTAAAAGCTTCTAGAGGCTTGATAAAATACTCAAATGTAATAAATATACCTATTATATTTATATTCGTAAACTAATTATTGCTAAATTAATGGATTAAATGTTTGTATATCAAATCAATAAATAAAAAAAAAAAATTAACAACTGTTGTTAATAACAATATTGTCAATTAAATTCTTAATATAATTTTTCAGAAACTATTAAAAAATCCAATTTAGGCATAAGCTCACCGTTTTAAATTCACAGCACTATTTGAAAAGTTATACTCTTTTAATACATTTTAGAAGTTGCCAGTTACAACACTGAGTAATACTGTAGGTATTAGGTAGGTACACATTACACATAATACTAAAAATGTTTATAAGTAGGTACCTACCTACTTTTTAATATTTATTAATTAATAGAATCATAACTTATTGAATGTATTTTTAATTAGTGTATTAGTAAATTATTATAATATATATTATATTGTAGAATAAACTGTAAGAAATTATGTGATACTGCCAACCACATTATTATTAATACATCGAGTATCGGAACAGGATTATTGCTAGGTATGCAAAATGATAATTGATAATGAACAATAATATTTTCAATTGTATAAGCTTAACTTAAATTAAATGCATCTACCTAGTAGGTACCTACCTATAATTTTGCAGACTGAAATTTTTTCATCATGTAGGTATACAAACTAATGACAATAATTTACTCATATTATTATAAATTAAACTTGTTTCATATCTAATACATATAATCTTTGATCTTATTTCTTTACGATACAAAAGTTACTATAATATTTGTCCTTTCATCGCATTCCAAGAAAAAATAAGAAAATAAGAGATGTTTGGTGGTATACAATTTTTGAGTTGACACAAGAACTTTCTTGTACATTCTGAGCTCATTGCTATCTTTACCACGCCTTCAGTGAATTTCACAACTTACTGAAAGACTTTTTCTGCATTTGCTGCAGTCATTAGTGAAGGTACTACATCATATTGAGAGACTATTGTAGTTATAATAAACATAACACAAAATTAAATTTATAGACTATAGAATTTAGAATATCGAATTAAACAAAAAATAACACAGAACAAAATAGTCATAACATGAACAATCAGTAGTATATATTTGTATGTTCACAGCCAGCTTTTCCACGGTAAAAAAAATTGTTCAAGCGGGAATGTTTATACTACAATAATTATTTCAGTTTTAAGATTTACCAAAAAATTTAGTAAATGACAAATATTTTTGTGTGAGATGAAATTTGGTAGACAATCAGTGTGAAATCTCTGTATTGTGTTACGTGGTAAATCGAAGTGCTTCAAGCGGAACATTTCCACTAGACAATTTTTTTTACCGTGGAAAAGCTGGCTGTGAACATACAAATATATACCACTAAAATCCAACGATGAATTATGAAAATATTTCTAATTTTAATATTACTTACTGAAATATTGGTAAGTACACAAAACACAGTATGTATGGTTAGGTACCGAAAATTACAATCAGCTTATATTTCAGATTCTAATGAACTATGTATTGCTTTTACAATGATGTGTGATTTTTTTTTGGTAGTAATAATGCTCAAAATTAACATCTTTTCTGATAGAAAAGTTAATCTAGTTTTTACTTTTAGCCTTTGGGAGGCCAAAATCGAATATTCGAAGTAGTTTTTTTCTTGATCTCTCCATTCAACCTAACAACAGACAAAAAA